AGGTAATACTCTAACACCTACTACAGTCTTCCAATAACTGTTTTTTTCTTGGAAAAATAGTGCTGATGCACTAATAAAATAACGTAGATCCTTAATACTGCGAGGCAGTATTTAATAGTTCCAATAACTCTCTATTATATCATTCGTCATAAATTAATATTTCAATCTACGACCACTGGTGCAAACAGCTACAACATTGGACATTGTTGATGACGTTGCAACACCATTATGACCTCATTCCAAAAATCGAGGCCGATGAGCAATCCTGTAGTAATAAATAAGTAGTAGTGTGCAATATCCTTGCTATAGCTCGCTTCGCTCAAGCAAGAGGTTCCGCTTTGCTCCATTCTTGCTTAAGGCCCATCCTCAATCAATCCGGTAGCGAAGTGGCACTTCGGCACGCATGCTAGGACAATGTTGTTTAACGTTGGCATCCTCAATTCAATTTCGTGCTAGCATGCACGCCGACTCCGAAGTGCAAGCTTGCAAGCTGCAAGATTTTTCGATACGTGACAATTTATGTCATGCGCAGTACATTACCCGTACGTTCGGTATTTGGATCTGAGTTCTCCGAGCATGAATTTGCCGTTCGTTTATTCAAAAAGTGTACTCGGTGCAGGCTCATTCACGTTCGTTTATTGAAATGTCGAGCCCTCTGATACAGCTCTGTGCGCTGCGCTCGCTGGTCACATGATTATAGCTCCGCTCTGCACGCACTTGGAACAAAATACCGAACGCAAAATAAATTACCATTAAATAAATTATTAGGGACATAAAGCTTCCGTATTTTTTTGTCGGTATCCGTATCGGTATCGTACTGCGCATGTGCAGAAGCGTTACGGAGGTCGAGATACCGTACGTACAACGTAACGTTACGGCCTTCTCGCGGTATCCGTATCGGTAACGTTACTTGACAATCCTGACACGTGTCAAATTTTGAATTTGTTTAGTTTATATTTTCTCGAGTTTCTTGTGCTTCTCTATCGCAAAAAAAGTTATAAGAATAAGGAAAGGATGCATTCGTCAATGCCAGCACTACCAGCAACGCTGAAAAGAAAGAGATTGTACTACAATGGAGACGACGATTTGCATCTATTGCGGGAAGTGCTTGGGCAAAATCCATTTATGACGGCCAACAGATGGAATGATATCCAAAAAAATATTCAAGAGCTCACAGGCAAGGAGTTTGGTGTGAGAAGTTTGAAAGAGAGAATCCAGCTTCTTGTGGACAAATTCAGGCAAAAGGTTGAACATGATGAATATAAGTAAGTTGGATGTGTACCTAAAGCAAATTCTGGAGGCTCTAGTTCACCTTTAGCTTGACCATTAGCAACAAAAAATAATTGCGAAAGCTTTTGCTTTTACTAGAAAATAGTTTTTATATCGATAAACGTTGGCCCTACTGGTGAATCTCTATATAAGTGCCTCGTTGTAGTCAAATTTCTTTTCAGATCTGGAATTGAAGAAGAAGTGACGGAAATGGATGATCTTCTTCATCAAATTATTCTATTGATTGATGAGGTTTTAAATCAGAAAAAAACGAAGTCCTCATCTTATCAAAGAGGTCTTGAAAAGAGAGAACAGGCTATGGAAAATATAACTAAGGAAGGAAATCAAATTGGACCCTTATTTGGAGTTGGACCAAACCTATTAGAGCCACCAGAGGAGGATAAAGGTGAGTTGAAAATTAAGTTAGAACAGAAACTCAAAAATATATTACATGGATAGCCATGAGTACATAGGAGGGCATCATTCCTGGAAAAAATACCTAATAAATGGGTATTATTTCTGGCAGATTTTTCAATTAAATTGTTGTTTGAGTGTTTTTTTTTTCCAAATAAGTATCTACATTTCTAGAAAAATATTTTAATCAGTGCCAATTAAAAAACAAAGAAAATAGATAAAACTCTGGCTATCTAAATCAAAAACGGCTCTGAATACTATCTAGAAACTTTTGATATTGTATTACCATACACCGCTATTTTCGGCCAATTATTATATGAAAGTTGAAGCTATGGTTAAACTTAGGTTTGAACATGGGTTGAACCTATGTTTAACCATAGCTTGAAGCTAAAACTCAACCTATACAATTTGGCCTTAAGTAATTATCAAACTACTACCTTCTCATTTTTTATTCTGGTAACATATTTTTCTTAAAAATTATATTTTTAGAGTATATTCAAGTAATTATTGAAGACGAGCAGGATATGCAGACCGAGATGCAGAGTGTTAATAAAGAAAATAATTTTGTAAGACCAATTGAACCAGAAACTCCTCGTATAAGTATAGGCATTGGTCGTGGGAATGGTAGAAGAGTCGCGAATAGAGGAAGAAGCGGGGGTTCAAGTAAGCATATTCAGATACGAAATTTGGTAAACAAAACAATAGTGAACTACGTAACTGTCTCAGGACATCAGCTAGTGGTAAAATTCCAACACCCAATAATTTTTATTCTTTCGCAACAGCTCCATCCAGACTAAAACGAACCGGAATAAAGCAAACTTCAATGAAATTTTTGGAAACTAAAAATGAGAGGTGGTTTGAAACAAGAAGAAGAGAGCTAGATTTGGAGGAGAGGAGATTCGAATTTGATATGGAGGAACGAAGAAGAAATTTGGCCATAAATGAAGCCAGGCTAGACCTGGAACAAAAGTGATGTTACCTGTTAGTTTGCTAAATGTAAAAAAAAAAGATAAAGTAAATATTTTCAAAAATAGTATTGGTTTTTTATTTAAACATATCATCATTCACAAAACACCTTACCTATTATGTAGAATAAAATTGAGCTACTGCAAATATTCCTCCAACTGAGGGGGAATAGAGGCAAAATACTGAGATACATTTCCTCCATTTAAGCAAGTGTGGCAATTTGTTAAAATAGTCCCCACTCTATACATCTGACTAACATCTTGCGACAAAATTTTTTGATTTTTTTTGAAATCCAGAAAGGCGAATAATTGAATAATTTTTCCAAAGCCCCATTCCACTGAGACTCTTACGGATCTCATAATATTGTTGAACATTTGCCTTTCTGGATTCTGAATAATTTGATTTATTGTGAAGGGACGTACTAACAGTGCATGAAGAGCATATCCCTCATCCCCATATAGTACAAACTCTTCATCCGGAAAAACAACATGGTTCTGGAGTTCTTCCAGGAACCCTGATTCTCTGAGAATCCCAGCATCATGTCGTCGTCCAGCATAGGCTCCTTTCAGGCTGATAATGATTCCATCAGGGCACAGAACGCTCTGATATTTTAAGCAATGCATTTTCTTATGTCCTGAATAATATTCTTCCTGGTTTTCTGTTGGACGACAAATAGCCCTACAAGTACCATCTATGAATGCCCAGCAATTATGGAGAGGGCAGCCTTTGTGGAAAATTGCCTTTGAAAAAAAAAAAAAAAAATGAGGATTAATAGGAAACTTACAGTTCATTTTGTTTTAAGCAGAGAGAAAAAAGTGCAAAGAGGGTCAGTCAGAAAACAGTCCATGAAAAAGTTTCGGATCCATTGTAACAATTTATTGAGATTTAAGATTGAAATTTTTTAGAAATAGAGATCTATTCAAGTTCATCTATAACATTTCTATACGTCCCACTGAAGCAAAAGTGATTTTTTTATTATGTTAAAATTATTAAAATCGAATGAAATCTTTCTTGGTCTATGGTACTAGAGAATAATTTTAAAAAAAAATATTCCTAAGGCACGGTATTTTTTTAAATGTTATCGATACTTGTATTATAGACTGAAAGAAGAACTTAGGTAATAAAGTCACATCACAAAATTCCTCCTTATAGGTATCTGTGAAGGTAAACTTCTGCGCAAATAAGGATATAGATACATACCTGTTATGGTTACCCTGTTCACTATGATGGGATCTGGAATCCTCAAAGAAACAGCCAGTCTCTGTACCTCCTCCTGCGTAAATCTGAACATTTGTAGACAGATGGTATTGTTATAAAGAGCCAAATCGAATGCCCCAAAAATGTTAGCTCGATTTCCAAGAAGTATCTGATCATGCAAGATATGCATGATCAGGAGGTCATCAATATCATCATCATTAGGGTCCTCATTATCTAATAAAAGATGATCCAGAATAGCTTCCATGTTCTTAGTCTAAAAAAAATTTAAGAACTTAACTTGTTGGGGTGATTGAGTATTGTAATTGTTGGTTGTGAATTTTTGTGTTGTGTGGGTTAGTTCTTCATACCAAGCAATGTACATTTGCCAGTATTTCTAATCTCCTGCACATGCAAAGGTTGAAATAGGCATTCAATTTACCATTGTGCATTATGGACTACCCTGCCAATATAAAACACAGAACTTCAACGTCCCCAACAAATAACCCTGCCTTAAAGTATACTTACCGATGTTATATGAGGTAAAGTGACTCGTTAAGTGGGTAGGGGGTCGTCACCAGAAAAGACGGTACAGAAACCAAATTATTAGACTACCAACCAAAAAGGGATGAAAAAAAACAACAATTTTAAGGTTAGATATAAAAACGCCGGAGTTTTGACACAAATTTCTAGGTTACGAGATGCGTTTACGTTTACCGGAACAGGGAGCGCTTTAACAGCCTTTTCGTTTGTCAACGTATCTAGTTGCGTTACGGATACCGATACCGATACCGGCGAATTATTTCAAGTAGCTTTATGTCCCTGACAACATTGAGGATGGGTATCAATTTTCCAGCACGCGTGCCGAAGTGTCACTTCGCTACCAGATTGATTGAGGATGTAGCTTTAGACCCTTCCCTTCTGTCAGTTCTGTCTTCATTAACCCTTTTCACGTGGCTCCGGTTTAACAAACCGCAACATACCGCTCAAATTCGAGTGGTACGCATCCATCACGTCACTTTGTAACCGGGTTAGCAAACGGTATGTCATTTCTCTAACCGTTTTGTAACCCGGTTAGTTAAACCGGAGCCACGTGAAAAGAACTATTGGTTCTGTCTTCTGTCTGATCAAAATATTCAAAATTTCAAAATGTAAGGTTAGAATCGATCAAAAAATTATGAAATATTTTTGTTTGGGTTTGTTTTGCTAAATAAGATCTAAGAAATGTTTACCAAAAAGTTAATGACTAAAACTCTACGTGCACCAAGTAAGCCTCATTCAATATTTCGTGAATTATTCGCTTGCAAGGCTCAATATCCCTCCAAAAACCCTCAATTATTGGCCCAACCACTAAATTTAAACCAGAGGCAAATCCGATTTTGCACCGTTGGTACAAGACAAGGTTTTTACGATAATGAAAATAACTTTATTTTTCAAATAATAAATAGATCCTCCCTAATTGACAATACCTTATTAGATAGTAGAGGAAAAATTATAGATGAAAAATCATTTACGCTTTATTTAAGTAAAGACTGGAGAAAATCTAATGCTACAGATATAGTTAAAGCTTTCCAGACAGTAAAACACTATTGCATATCCAACGGAATCACTGTTTCCGATCCAAGATTCGATAGTCTAGTAGATGGTCTTATGGATCACTGCCCCAAACTTACAGACAATGAGCTTTTAGAACTTTTAAACTGCATGGCCCAGTATCCAATGTGCCAATCACTAACAGAACATAATTTTCACGATATGTGGAGCTGTTTGGATGATATTTGTTGCTGGAAAATGCAGGAATGGGACATAGAAAAGCGATTTCAAATTGCTGACGCCTGGTACAAATTAAAGCTAGGAAAATTAATAGATTATATTTTCCTTCTATTAGATAGGCATGTTAAGAAAGCTGAGGTGCTCAGTAAAGATCAATTGGTCAGGATATTTTTTTATTTTAATATCTGCCGCAAAAGGCCTGTGGATTTTGAATATGAATTTGCGTTGGAAAAAAAGATACATGAGTTGAGTATAGATGAAATGGCTGTAGTTGCTTTGGGATACTTCAAAAGTCAGAGTAAAATTAAACCCGAACCTATTATAGAAGCTATGTTAAATGAAGTTACCAATAAAGCTATTGGGATACATGAAATAACTTTAACTGCAATTATGAAGGTAGGCAGGGAGTGCACCCACCCTTATGATTTTTTTAATTAGGTAGGTATATGGTGATTACAATTATAATGATGAATTATTTTTCAGGCTGTGAGATTCTCATTTCCAAAAAATTTATTACAACAAATAGTCATAATGCTGAACGCTTTAAATCCTGAATTAGATAGATTATCTGAAACGGCTTGTCTTCATGTAGCTTTAGTGGCTACTAGCATTCAAACTTTTGATGCTGACACTTTAAGGTCTGATTTGACTTTATATTAAATTCAATTAAACTATATTTAAAATATTTTATAGGAAATGTTCTCAAAAATTGGTGGAACGTTTAGAGCATACAAGATTAAAAGAAATTGAAAGGCTTTTGAATGTATTGACAATGTTTTCATTTGATCCTAATACACAACCTGATATTTTTGAAATTTCAAAACAAGAGCTTCTAAAAGAAAGCAGAATCAATGAAATAACTAATCATCCAAGACCTTTTATATCAGCTCTAAACTACCTTAGCCTAAAAGGAGTTTACAACTTCAAATTATTAAATAGAGCTTTGGACCCTGAATTTATTTTTAAGAATTTTGGAAAGAATGCTAAAATGATTCCTAGAGAATTGTTTTCATTGGATACCTGTATAGACATAGAATGTCCTGATTATAAAGGAAACAGATTAGATACTGGTCTAAAATATAAATGTGCCAAATGGCAAACTGAGTGGGCCCCAAGCTATGACCAATTTAAAAAATTATCACCCAAAGATAAACTCTTCCTGGACATTAAGGATTTAACAGAAAAAATTGTTGGTAATAAAGACTTTGTGATGGTGCAGCATGTTCTGCCACATTTTCCATCTCCAGATTTAATAATTTGTAAAAATACTATCACAGGTGGTTTTGTAAAGCCTGAAGGTTTGGATAGATATATTTTGGGTGATGTTATGAGACCACCGAAAAATCGTAACTTGAAATGGTATGCTCTTGTCGCATTATCTTGGAATAATACTATGAGGAATAGTTGCGATATTTTGGGACATAGTGCAATGAAAATACGGCATCTCGAGAAAGTGGGTTATACTCCTGTACAGGTAAGATTTGGACTTAGCAATTTCAAGACATCAGTACAGTAATTTTTATTGAAGCTTTAAGTAACTTCAATTTAGGCCAACTTAATGGTATTATAGTACAACTAGCGGCCCACATCTTCAAACTTCTGAAGCTTATTAGAAATGTATTTACAAATAAAATGTATATGATACAATCTATAGGCGGTTACACACGGACGTGGATGTCTGAAAACATGTACGCACATACATGAAGGCACAAATAAAAATATTAATGTGTATGCAAAATACCGTCGCGTTTTTGAATGTGTAAGCAGTAGAAATTTTGTATGCACACTTGGAACACTGTAGCAAGAGTAGCAAGACTGCAGTTTTGATAGTTTTGTGTGAGCGTCTGTATAAAGACCCCATGCACGTTGTTGTCTGCACGTTGATGTATGCACATATATGTATCGAGCACTAAGCCATCCACGCCCGTGTGTAACCACGTTATGAAATCAGGAAATATGCCAAATATCTATAAATCGGACTTTTGCCATATTCACTTTAATACTAGTCCAACAAATCTGTAAAATTTCAGGTGCATTAGTCATTCAGAGCCAGAATATCACACTGAATTCACAGGACTTTAATTTAAACTTGAAACAGTATATTGATATAGTACTGTTTTACTTTACTTTTAATTCTACTTTACTGCAACAACAGCCACCTTTCTGTAGTTGGTGAAATATTTTGATTTTAAAATCTTCTTTAGATTATTTGGAACCAGTACATGTTTATATCCCAAGAAGAAAAGAAGAAGTACATTTTGGATAAATTGATTTAGCAAGAAATGTTTTTGGAGAAAAAGGTGAATAATACAGAAATTGAGCAAGCAGTACCAAATTACCAAAGAAAGATTTCAGGAGCATATTTGAATCCAGCGATAATAATTGAACTTCAAATAAGATTTTTGATGAGAAATACATTTTATATTATTTATTTTTGGTATTATCATTTTTGTTTACTTATCTTCGTTTAGTACATTTCAAATTTTTGAAAAAAGTGGGTGTCTGAGTCTGAGCATTAATCGTTTTATAAAGGTAATCAGTCATGATTTGTTAAAGTTTGTTGTGAAGTTTTTCGGAAAATCAGAACCAACTTTTCCATCAACAAAAAGTGGTGATGACAGTACTGACAGATTCTTTATTTAGATCTGGTTTTTATTATTTCTGTTACAATATTTTGCTAAAGATCCACGATTTCGTGGGAAACAAACAATATTGGATTCAAAAATTTTCTTTGAGGTGTGTTGGAAATATTAATTTTTTGTAAAATTAGTGCAAAATATCGTAATTTAAATTTTACTGCTTTGGAAGATGAATTATTATTTGAAAAAGTGAACGAAAATCCATCATTATAATGCAAAAGTTTAAAAAGCTACAAATGAAAGACAATATTTGGCAAAAATAGCATGGGATATAGGAGCAAATAAAACAGGCATAAACTTTTAGCAACATTATTTACGTTCATTGTGAACTAATGACACACGTTTTTTTTTTATCTGGATGATGTATCTATGAACCACTAAAAATTATTAGGGTAAAAATTGAAGAGAACTGGTAACGATGTTATGTTGTAAAGTGTTGCCATACAGATTAAATAGCACTTTACCACTCAATTTTGGAAGCAATATCACATTGGGTACTCTCAAAAATGCGATAAAGTAAATTATTGAATATTATATAAGCGGAAAAGAAATTGTTAAAAACAGAGCAATTTAATATTCAACCGAGTGTTTAACTATCCCATTTTTTGTATTCCAAACCATCTGGAGGCTTTACAGTCACTTTTTTCTGGGACACTTCATTCCAATTGGTGCTTAGCACTGTTCCCCCACTTTCCATCTAGAAATAAAAATGGATCTATTTATGAAATTGTCCTCAATCCTATTGATTGAACTATATGTACTTTACTTATGTATCAGAATAAGATTTAAATAAAAAAATAGAAATATGTTGGTACTTACAAAACTCTTGTTCATAGCCATTTTAACTTCATCAGACCCTTTGCTGTAAATGTCCTGGAATAACTTATTCATAGCTGCTTCGCCTTCAGGTGTTTCTTGTTCTTCTTCTTTTTTGATCTCTCTTTCAACTTTACTCCAATCTTTCCCTTTTTTTGAAGTAGGATAGGATGGTGGGTGATCATTCTGAGTATTGGATGCTAAAAGAAAAGAAAAAAATGTTATACAAAGCTTGACACATATCCTCGTTAATTTCACAAAGTGACGTATCTCAAAACAATCCTGATTTGAGATACTTCACTTTGTGAAATTATCGGCGATATAAGGGCCAGTTTCTCAATAACAGGTCATCTCTGGGTTAAGCTAACTCCAGGGTAAACATTGCAATTTGACACGTTAACCCTGGAGTTAAAACCAACCAGGGGGTGAATCGCTATTGAGAAACCGGCCCATAAAAGGCACTTACTTTGTGGTATAGCTTTAATATTGTCCTCTACTATTTGGCCTTCTAGCTGATTCCATCTTAAGCCTTCTGTTTTTTTCAATTTAATTTCGATCTGAAATGTATATTATATAAATTATATTGAAAATAGTTAAAATAGAGAAAATTATAACCTTTGAAGGTGCCAGTTTGTAAGTACATTGTTCAGGCACAATTTTATGGGATAAATTGAAGCACTGGAAGCATTCTTCATAATCTGGGACATTTATGTTAACTTTTACAGTACTATCGGAGAAAGATGCTTTAAATTGGTCTTCTTTTACGTTTTTCACGAGGATGGTTATTACTACTGTTGCATCCGTTTGGTACCAGTCGTGTTTGACTGGAAGTGTGGGCTGGAAAAGGGATCAAATTTTTAGGGAGTGATAAAAATTAAAAGGTAACCTAAAAAATATGTTTCTAAGTAAAGAATGGATTTGTTACCTTGGCCGCTTCTCCAGACATTATAATGTAAATGGATCTCCTCAAGTTCCACTATTATTGATTGAGTGTTGAATTTTTTGGTTTATTATGCTTCTCTAGCTTTCTAGAACAAAATAATAAAAATAAAAAAGGGAAAGCAGCTGTTGGGCTAGTTGTCATCGTTGTCATTTCTTGATGTTATCAATTGTCATTTGTCTGCACCACTCTGGAGCAAGTTCAGGAACGGCCCACCCGTTCTGAGTATGAACCACCAACCGTTGAGAATCACCAGAGGCGGTCCCAATACTTCGGACATCTTCTCGTTCAGAAATAGGTACAGATACGAAAGGGTCCACTTTCGGATGATCTATGATCACCTACCAGGGTTGTTCCAGAGTGCACAATTGTTCAATTAATTAAAACTTGTACAAACCCTTCCTAAAGTCTGTTTTTTTTAAAGATAATTTCCCAAGTCAAAAACTTAAGCTGGGTTCGGCTATTCAGCACGGAGTTGGATTGGAGTAAGAACAGATTTTTATCACGTGATCTATTATTAATAACGAACGACCGGAACAGTCGGAGCAAAAATATCAAACAGCTGATTTGCACGGTTGCCAAGGTGCCAGTAATTACTGGCATTTGCCAGTAAAAAAACACCTTGTCAGTAATTTAAATATTTCATCAAATTTTACTACTTTTCTGAAATCCAAGATTGAAATCTGAAATTGTCTTGACCATGTCAAGATTGTCATAATTTTTCATTTTCGACCCCTAAACAAGAGAGGAATAGTATATTACAATCCGAGACGGGAAATGCTTCATTACTGGTCGAGAGGTTTTATAGTTTATCGAGACGCGTAGCGTCGAGATAAACTTAACCTCGAGACAGCAATGAAGTTTCCCGTCGAGGGTTGTATACTATTTTATTTTTAACCATAATTTCTTGAAAAAAAAAAAAAATTCGGGGCAACCAAATGAGGTCGGCAAATGAAGAGGAAAATGAGAACGGGAAATATTTCCCTGCTCCATTTTCCGCCCGTGGACGGGAAATGAGGACGGAAAAAATTTCCCGTCCTCACTTCCCGTCCTGGGACAGGTAATGGAGCAGGAAAATGAAAAGACAGAAATGTGACATTTTCAAATTTTTGAAAAGTCAGTAATGACAACATTTCAATATGGTTAAAAATAAAATGTTTATTTTCATCACCCGAGTGCACACCAGCCATGAATAATATGGCTGGTGTGCACTCGGTGTCACGACTAGGACGATTTCGATTTTCGAACGCACTCCAATTCTGGTATTTAACTAGCGAGAATGACCCCTCTCAAGCGTCGTATTTTCGAATATTCTCGCATGCGAAATTTGATACGATTTCGAATGCTCCCCATTTAATTTACAATGCTGTTAGTCAAATTTCGTGTACGAAATGTACTCGAATGGATTCGAAAATACGACCCCAGGGTCTTGAAACTTGATGTCATCATTTCTGATCTGAAAATGTGAATACAAAAACAGTCAAAACTTGTGTCTACTTGAAATCGCCTAAAACTAGGGCCTCAATTCGACTTTTTGTATTTGCCAGTAAAGGTAGAATTCCTTGCCAGTAATTTTGCAAAGAGCATTTGGCAACACTGCTGATTTGTCTTGTTTCAAAACAACAGTCAGAGGCAAGGATGATACACACTACTAAGGATGGCTTATCCTCATAAGGCCTGTGTGTAACAAATCCCCCCCTACCCCGCCTAGCCAAAAAATCAGTTGTGACGTAAACATCATGGCGTTTTTCGTCTTGACGTAGGCTGTTTGCACCACAGGTTATGTTATGATCTGGCTGCTGGCTGGAAATTATGGAACTATATAGTTTCTAGTATAATTAAAGTCTAAAATTATAAAATTATATCAGATACATATAATCATGACTTTTAATCATTACTGTTGTGTTCCTCAATGCAAGTCTTGGGCTTAAAAAAAAAGCTGACAAAGGATTGAGTTTCTACATATTTCCCCTTGAAACAGGCCCACGGGTTTATTTGGAAACGAAAATGGAAAAAGAAGTGTCGAGAAGAAAAGCCTTCTGGATTTTAAAACTTCGTATTGGCAAACCAGTCACCAAATTCATGAAAGTGTATTCTCTGCATCTCAATTAAGCAAGAATTTTGTGTTAAGGTAAACAAGCATAATGGATAGTTTTGTGCCCTAGCTTCATTTTAGGCCTGCTTCTAGGCATTTATCAAGTAGGTACTATCTATTTTTAAAATGTTTTGTTTGAAAATATTGACTGTTTTTATTATTTACAGGTGAGAGTACAGGTCTTAGGGCGGGTATTATAAAACTGCTTTGACAGTTAACTTAAAGTTAACTTTTTGAATTACATGTAATTCCAGAAGTTAACTTTAAGTTAACTCTCAAAGTAGTTTTATAATACCTACCCTTAGAGGTACAGGTAGAGGTCGGATATTGAAAAAAACAGTTGTACCATCCCAGAATTTGCCCTCTTCTATAGTGATCCATAAACCGAGCCAAAAAATAGATTCCATGGGTGCTGAAAAACTTGCCGAAAGAAAAAGAAATCAAGATTCTAGTGAGACTGATACAAGTAATGAATGTAGTTATACTTTTAATCAATTATTAAACTCTTCTCAGATAGGCATACAAATGGCCGAGCAAACAGCAGAACGTGTAAAGTGTTTATTAAATCCTAATTACCAGTATTATATTATAGGTAGTTCGAGTAAAAATCAGATTTGTGGTCAAGTTATTTGACTTTGTTAATTTAATTTTCACCTATTTATAAATAAAAATAAAGAGTTATTTATAAAATGTTTATTTATTTATTAGACATACAAGTTATTCAAATACAGACATTATAAGGGAGATCCATACCAGCCTTGAGACCCTTTTGGCAATGTCCTACTGTAGAAAGTTTACAAAAATATAAGAAAAAGATCCGGTTAGGCTGTTGTATAGATATAATCATTTCGGGACAGATAAACGAAATAGATTATAATGAATTTTGGCCTGCATCATCACGAGCAGCATTATGGGTGAAAATTATTACCCAGTGTGAAACTTTCGAGAACAGTGAATAAATAAGTCGATATTGCATTTGCAGCACATTTTTCTTCCTCGGCTGCTACAGTTTTGACCACCACATCGTTTTTTTTACGTTCAGGAAAAGTGTTTCAATAATGATGCAGTCCATAATACCTTATATCATTATTGACTCAAAAATCACTTGCTGCAGCCCGAAGCATATTCTCCTGTAGCGCAAGGTGGTACTTTATATTTCCTCGGGTATGTCTGAAAATAAAAATAAAGTTAAAATTGTATGATTTCCCAAAAAATTGTTAATTCTACTCTACCTGTGATATATTTCCCATTCGAATAAACAATTTCTGCACTAGCACAAAAGTTGCCTAGTAGATAAGTCAAAACCACATTCCTCATCTGCTGAATCTTAGTCAGTGAGCTCTTTGCTTTCTGTGTGGGCTCAATATATTATGCCATCAACATTTTCATTATCATAAGCAGTATTCAAAGCTTCCTGATGGCTAATTCCACAAACAAAATGTAAGTACAGCTAAAAATGTTAGCTTCTGCCCAGGCCCATATGCCATATGGGACAGTAATATTTACAAGAATATAATACATAAACAAACAATTTATGCTCGAATAGGAATATGTTATAATAATATGAGAAAACCCTAAAAACAATTAAATAGTATAGAATAAATTATCTTATAGTTATTATACTTACATAAAGAAATGTAAACAAAACGCCGCGTAATTCTCCTAGCGCTCCATTAAATCATACATGCTGAAAACGTGTAAATAGGCGGAATGACGAAAGCTAGCCAGATATCGCGCTACTGGTTCCATCATAGCATAGGGTACCTTTACCCGCTATAATGGTTAATCAAAATCAAAATAAAATATTTTTCATGACAAATTATAAATTTATAAAACCGCTGGCGCAAACAGCTGGCGACTTTGTTATGACGTCAGCAGTGGTTGGAAACAGTTGAAAACCAATATGGCGGCAATTACCCAAAAAGGGGCCGATAAGCACTCCTTAGTAAGTTTATTCTCCTTGAGTCAGAGGTGCTTTCCAGTGACCCATTTGAGTTACTCCTGAGCAGCTCAGGAGTGCTCCACAATTACTTTGCGCGTTCCAGTGCTCAGAGTGTCGTATACTTGAACTACATATTTCTGTTATCCCCTGCCCCCTCGTGCACCAACCTTTATTTCGGTGTTCCATGCTCCTGAAGTCCGAAATGGTGGAGGTTAAAGACGAAAGCGTTCCAGTGCTGCTTATGTCGAACAGTTCAAGAGCGTCCCACATAACAAAATTTCATCCTTAGAATGTACTGAGAATGTTCTTTTTTTTAGGAATGTGCCTAGAATGTTCGCCAAAACCATTGCGAATGTCCTGAGAAAAGATTGTAGAAATACTGTTTGCAATACCCAAAAACTTCCTGGGAAATCCATTAGGATATTCCTAGAATATACCTATAAGATTCTCAGTACATTCTGAAAAGAATATTCCTGTTTGATTCTAAAAATATGCTTGAAATGTATATTCTCACATTCAAAGAATGTTCCTATGACATTATATCGTTATGTTGTCAAAAGAATATTATACCAATATGCTTGAAATATTCTTAGAATATATCTACATATATTATATCATTCTCAATATGCATCCTAGACATAACATTCTTGTTTGATTCTAGGGACATACTTGGAATGTTCATTTTCACATCCAACCAAATGATGCTACTTAGTCCTTCTATATTAAAGGCAGTGAAAGAGTTGTTGGAAAATTTCTCTGGAAAACACAAGTGTTTAACCAAAGCCCGGTTTCGAGCTTATTATGCTCTCGTCGCGGTAAACACGCCAACTGAGAGAAACAGGTTCCAAGGTGATTTAAACGCGAGGCAATATGTAGATCATTAATAGCGCGTGGCTCCCTCTCTTGGAAGTCTTACAAAGCAAAAGAAAAAGAATATAGGTAATGATTTATGTAGATGGTATCTAAGGTATAAAAACACAAGAATGTATTGGTATGACATAAAAAGAATTATCGCACATCGTGTTAAATGTCCACTATTTTGACAATTTTTTCGCGTCAGTGTCGCGTTGTTTACTCAATTGTAATTGAAGAAATGTGAGAAGCTGCCATTCTGGAGGGTGCAAATGATTTTTTTCGGTTTTATCCATTTACAAAACACATACAAAAAATATAAACAGATTATGTGAGGTTAGAATCTGAAAAATTCCTGGACAACTGACATTTGCGCATGTCTCAAAAAATAGTGGAATAAATACTGCTTTTCACTATCCAATCACAAATAAGGATGATC